GCAGGGTCTTAGCAGTCAAATTGCATTGTGCTTTATTAGACTTTTTCCTCAATTCTCTAAGAATTTATCAAGGAATTTGTTTTATCAACCAAGTAATGTACTAATAATCTTTCTCATTTAACCTTCCCGTATCTTAATATATTAAAAGCTTAATCTTCATTTTTTCTAAAATGGTTTGCTTTCCAATATAATTATCCATATTTATTAGTTGCAAAATTCTTTTACATAATAGGACTTCTAAATAGAGTAATTCCCTAAGAAGTCTTGCTACTCTCTAATCTCTTTTTTATACTACTGAGAGCTCATCTCAGCCTTTATTACAATTTTCAAGAGCTCCTATAGCCTTTAGTGTAAAGCTCAAAGTCCTTTTGTGATGTGTAGCCTACCTGTCTCTGTAGCCCTGACCCACATTACCCTTCCTGCTACTCAAGATTCAGCTATGTTTATTTATAGACACCCCAAATGGGCCATGCACTTGAATACCTCCACACTTTTCCTCAAGCTGCTTCCAACCTTAGACCAGCATTTCCCTACACTGTCTTGGTCTGACTAATTCCTGTTGGTATGGTTGTACCAAGCCTTCCTCAGCACCACGTACTCCCATAGCTCCGCCCCCCCACTGTGGCTGGTGCCTGCACCATGCTGACTGTAATCACGTCCTCGCCTACCTGTCTATTCCACCAGTCCATGGGCTCTGTAAAGCAGAGGCTGTGTCCTCCTGTCTTCCCATTCCCACATCTCTGGGGTAAAACATAGTGGCAGCTCACTGCAGACTATTATTGGATATTTATTTGTTGAATAAGTAAAATATTCTTTCCTTCTGATCTTTACAGTCTTAATCATTTCTTTCTGTATAGAATGCAGAGAGCTGGAATTCCTTGTCCAACAGTTGTACTGCTCAAGAAACACATTTTAGTTATGTCCTTTATTGGCCAGGATCAAGTTCCAGCCCCTAAATTGAAAGAAGTGAAGCTCAGTAGTGAAGAAATGAAAGAAGCCTACTACCAAACTCTTCATGTAAGTTGTGCCTTTCAAAGCAGTCACATGCTGACTTTCCAACATACTTTGTCTAAACTCTAAAAAAAATGCCTTAAAAACTGCAGTTTTAGGGTGCTATAACAAGACAAACTGAAGTTTGTGAGGGAATGTTGACATTGAAGAGTTGTCTTTAATCAGGGATGCTGGTGTCTTGAATCATTTTAGAAACAACTATGAAGTGGACCTACGGAGCTCAGTTATTAGCTCATGTGTTAGCTGTTAGGCTCAGTTGTTAGCATTAGAGACATAGAATATGAAGCTATTATTCACAAAACTTCGTTACTAAAAGTAGACATTACTGTATTTAGCAGATGACTGTACCTCATTAGCTTGTATGCCTTCTTGAGTGTTACCAGCACAGAAAATACCTGTGGGGGAATTAGAAGAAACTAGATCTGGTCTCATTACAAGTGATGCTGAAAAGAAGATGGTAAGGAGCACTTCCCCCTCTGTGCAGGTATTAGAGTTGGATATTGAGGAAGCTGTTTTGCTTCAGGACAGCAACTGAATTCAAAATGACGTCCTTTCATCTTAAGAAAATGTTTCTAATACTGTCATTATTCCTGTCATTGTTTTAATTGAACAGTGGAGAAACTTACATGCTTTTTTTATATAGTCACTGCATGAAGCGCTCATGTCATGTAGCAGCTGATGTGAATATGAAAGTATTACCCAAATTAGTTATTTAAGACGTTATGGAGATAATCCAAGTTTCTCTGCTTCCAGGAGGAAAACACTGACAGGAAAATTAAGTTCATTTTTCTGGCATCTTTGAGCAGGGGAATGGCTGAGGAAGAGATGAAGTAGTGATATGCTTTCCTGTTTGACTCTATGAAGGCTGGGAAACAAAGCATTAATGTTGATTTCTGTAAGGGTAGGGGTTAGTATTGAGTATATGAGGCCATGTATGAATATGTAAGGCCAATAATGAGTATATATTAATGAGTATATAAGGCCTTAATTTATAAGGGTAACTCTCTCCCACTCTGGCAGGAAGTACTTTTTACTTTAGAATTGTACACACCTGCTTACCTGGGTCCCCTGGCTGGTGACCATAACATGGCTGCTGCCTTATCCGTGTGGGAATCCAGGTCTGCCCATTGGGCTCCTGATCTCATTGCTGTCATGTGGACAAAGAAATAGTGTCATGCATTCATATCCTCCAGTGTCTCAGTGTTCCCCATCCTACCTAAAACAAAACAGCCCAGTCTTAGACTATACAAAATAAAGAGGAAATAAGTTTGTTAACCTCATTTTGCTTTTTCTGGAAAATACGGGTTGACCTGGACATTTTAGTTGTATGGGTAAATTGGAATTGCTCCTTCATTTCCTAAATGTCTGCCTTGCCTCCTCACAGTTGATGCAGCAGTTGTATAACAAATGTGCACTTGTCCATGCCGACCTTAGTGAGTATAACATGCTGTGGCATGCCGGGAAGGTGAGGAGAGCCTTTTGTTAACGTTCAGATTTAATGACTTGATGTAAATTACTGAATGTAAAGAAATCACTACTTGCTCTGTATGTAAATAGGTTTGGTTGATCGATGTCAGTCAGTCTGTGGAACCAACCCATCCTCACGGCCTAGAGTTCTTGTTCCGTGACTGTAGGAATGTCTCCCAGGTAGGCATGTAAACTAATAGGTCTTTTTTATGAGATACAAGGTTCAAATTATTGTTCTCATTCCTACGATAAATAAGATGGTCATATTCTTAAAAATTGCTGCAAGGGTTTGGTTACTGGCTGCTTTCAAGATAAAGATAAAAAGATCAGTTCGTCAGTTTTCATTTTCAGCATGTGTTTGATTGCATGTCTCATACTTCGGCAATTGAATTAAATTTGCAAGGGAGTAAATTTTTAATTTGGCTGCAAATATTTGAGCAGTCAAAGTAGACATTTAATGCATGTACAGTTGTTGAAGGGAGGCTGGTGTCTAACCAGCCTACATGCTTACTGCCATCCATTGAAAGGAGAGTAGTCTTCCTCATCATCCAGTGTCTGATGATCGCTGTTTCTGTGGGGCAGAGTAAACAGGTTAAGGAAGGTAAAACTCAGTAATCACAAGTTTGGGTCACATTTGTTTGCTATTTCTAAAGGAAATAAGTTGTTAACAATTAGATAAGAATGATGTTTCTAAATGATAGAATAACTACTTGATATTGGAAATAATTTCTGAACTTCCTTGAACATTTTAATTGACAGGATCTAGTGAATATTTTGAGTCTCTGCATTCAGAGCAATGCCAAATAGTTTTACACATGCCACTCATACCTATCACTGTCAACGGTGTACAGTGTGACAAAGTAAATCCAGAAGATAGCATGGATGTGTAAGGACAAAAAGCAAACAGAACCTGAGCAGAGTTAAACCTGAAGTGGGAAAATCTGTGGTTTAAAAATTATGGAAGGAATTCACTGATGCCATACAAGTGTACTATTCCTGTTTTTTGTTTCTAAGAGAACCTTGCTAATATCTCTTGTTGACTTTTCTTTCGTAGTTTTTCCAGAAAGGAGGGGTAAAGGAGGCCCTTAGTGACAGAGAGCTCTTCTGTGCTGTTTCAGGCCTAAACATCTCAGCAGACAGTGAGGCTGATTTCTTAGCTGAGGTAAGTGTGTGTACAGCTGTTTTTCACATTGCTGGTAATAGAGAACTGGATAGAGCAGGAAATTTTATCCTCATTCCTCAAATAAGATTATTTAGAGGGTTTTCTTTTCTTGAGATGTGTTTGGTCCTTTCCAGATTTAAAACCTAAGATAAACATACAGTAAAACACTTCTTCAAGAAGGTATTCTTAGTTTCATTAAGATAGACAAATAACACATTTCCAATTCACTCCTGTTTCTCCTGTTTATGAATGAGAAAGTTGGTGAACACTGTGGGTGATAGAAAAAGCAGTCAACACATGGCCCCTGCCTTTAACTGGATTTAGAAAGTTAGCAAAGAAACCTCCCTGGGAGCTTTATAGAGTATACAGTAAGACATGTTGGATTCCAATGGTAGCTTAATAAAGACACTAAATATTGACCCTGGTGGTATAATCATGCAAAATATACATGTGTGTGCCATCCTGTAAAGTGTGTGTGACACATGATGTGGGTCACACTGTAATTCTAATTCAAGGCAGTGTCATTAGGAATGACCTAGTTTTAAGAGTAAAAGTACTGGTTCAACCTTGAACTATGGTTTCTGTGAAGTAGGATTTTGACAAATGGATTCAATATATTAATTTTTTAGATAGAAGCTTTGGAGAAAATGAATGAGGATCATGTGCAGAAGAATGGAAGGAAAGCTGCCTCATTCTTGAAAGATGATGGAGGTCCACCAGTCCTATATGATGACTAGCGCCAGGCCCACTGCTCTCAGTGTCAACCAGTGGTGACTGTCAGCTTCCAGTGGCAAGCGACGTTATGGGTGTATGGAAATACCAAAACACAAGGCATGGTGGTGCTTCTGTGCTTTTTATCCCCTTGTAACTCATGTGCCAGATGTGTGGAATTTTTAGCACGGCATTGAGAGAATATATTGTCACTACCTCCCATCTTATAAGCAGGATAACATTCTTTAACAGCTGTAGGTTATGTAGATGAAATAGACCTGATTTTATAGGATTCATGGTATGAAGTATTTTGATGAGAATTTTTTAAACTTAGGGAACATTTCCAAATATGGGAGGAAAGGACAGATGTGTTTATAAGGGAGGAGTTTATTACAACATACGTGCTTTTTTTACCTCCCTGTTTTGTGCTGTGTCTTTCCTCAAATAGTTTATCACCTGAAATTAGCCCTTCTCAATTCTCTTTCTAAATTGTGATCATAATTCTCAAGAAAAATTCTTCTCCTTAGTAGGTGATACAAATGGAAATTTGGTTTCAGAATGGCTGACAGAAACAGACACAAGCTAAGTACTTTTTATTGGTGCATCATAAATATGAACAGTTCGTTCCCATATTCATACGCAAGAAAAGCCATCATAGATTTCTGAGGGTGATAAGATAGAAGAATTTCTTAACTACTCAGATTTTTTTAAATATAATATTCAGCTTTTCTACACTTAGGTGAAATGGTTAGGATATATAAATCATGGTGTGGCTGCATTTATAATGGAAAGGTAAATTACCTGGAAGGACAGAATATAATATTTAACCAAGTTTGACATATTTTAATGAAGTCAGTGAAACAAAGTTTACATTCCAAACTATATGCTTATTGATTGATTTTGGGAGAAATACAGCAAGCTAATTAGAAATAATCAAATTATGAAAAATATGTATAAAATAACTGGGATATCAAATTAATCAATCTGAACTATCTTGCCTCACTTTAAATAATTTTTAGTACTGGCTAGATGCCAACATCTTAAACAAAGCAAGCACTGTACTGGACAAGTACGTTGGCTTTGTTAGGTTTGAAGTTCATTAACCACAGCGTAATCATTCCTCCTATTACTGAATTCAAGGTGGAACCACTAAGGACCCAAACTGTGTGTCTTGTCCTAGAAAGTAAAAATCCAAACATTTACACTTGGAAGCTTTTCCTTTAACACTATTTTTTAAATGCCTAAAATGTTCTTTCTAGAAAAATATTTATTTTTGTTCTGTTGAATGGCTTTTAAGTGCATTTCAGAGAAATGTGATTTGGGATAGATACTCATTACATTTCTGAAATGTTTAGTCTGAAAGATTTAAGATGGTGATTATTGGCTTTACAGAAATTTCAGACAACTAATTAAAAGAAACATTAACCATTTAAAACTTTTTAATCTTATTTTCTGACATACTCTCACAAAGAGCAGCAAACCATTGCTCTGTGGCATTCTTGGAGTGTGCTGTGAACATGCCTTTTAAGAAATTAAAAATGGAGAGATCATTTTAGAATTGTTTCTGTGTGTGATTTCTTTCTTTCCTTATATCAGCTTAGGTCCTGCTGTCAAGCTACCACGTCTCTACAAAATTAAGCAGTGCTCTTTTAAGCAGTTTTTTTCCCACTCATCTTCTCATATTTAGATTTCACTTTTAAATGACACATTGCAAATAGGTTTTTCTCCTCATGTGGATCACATTGTAAATTTTGCACATAGTGGGAAAAAAAGCAGGAAGTGTTCGTTAAAGAATCAAATACAAATGGAAAGAAGCAAAATATGGCAAAGGTATATTTAACCTCGCTACATAGAAGTGGGTATATGAATTAAGTCATCAAGATAATGCGTAGGAAATTATTTCAGCAAGATAGTTCATTGTGTTTCCCCATAAAAAATCAATTTTCCTGCTTAGCAAAAGACGCATGCTTGTTTAAATTTAAATATTACAGAAATTCAGAAATGCTAAAGAAATATTACTTGTACTCCAAAAGCCACTGTTTACAGTATGGTATGCATACATCTCCAACAACTTTTTCCCCCCCACACCATTTTGTTACTTACTATTTTAAAAAAATCTAACTTGCGCCTCTGCCACCGCCACCGCGTCCAGCCAGGGTGCACCCAGCATCCTGCTCCGGCCCCTCTGCTTGTCCTCGTCCTCCCAACGCCTGCCTGCCCCGCTGGCTGCCCTCTGGGCAAGACCCACGACACTGCGGCTGCTGAGGGGGATGAGCGGGTGTGCATGTCAAGAGCCGCCACCGGATGTGTGGCTGCAGCGTCATCACCCGACCAGCCTGAGGGCCGTGGGGAGGAGGCCCTCACTCAAGTCACCAAGGGCCTTCCATCGCGACACCACCCAGGATATCTGGAACATCACTAGCGCCCAGGTGTACCCTGAGCTGGGAGGTCGTTGGAATCTCACCCCTGTCTGCATCTGGAACAAGGTAAATAAAAGGGTCACGACGGAGTTCGATGGACAGAGCTCTTGGCCTGGTGGCCAGGACCATCTGGCCACTCAGACCCGAGGTGGCCCAGCTCTCTGCTTTCTATACAGAAAGAAATTGTTAAGGCTATAAAGATCAGAAGGAAAGAATATTTTACGTATTCAATAAATACCCAGTGATGGTCTGCAGTGAGCTGCCACTATGTTCTACCTGGAGAGGTGGGTATATACGTCACAGAGTGACGGAACTACTACTCAGTAGCTCTAAGTTTTTTCTCTAATGCCTTCTGGGACTGAAAGAACAGAATCATGTAAGATGCTTAACACAAACCGTAAGAACAATACCTGAGGGCAGCACCACATGAGCCTAGATGCATGAAAAATGGGGAAAACATCAAAAGAGTTAAAAAGTTAGATTTGAAGTAAGAAGAGACGAGGTAAGCCCATTGCCTGTCATGTCAGCATATGTTCTTAAGTGAGAAAACCAGAACTCCTCGTCTCCTGTTTCATCTGTGTGAAGTTGTATCATATTTGGAAAATGGTAAAACAGAGGAATTGAAGACCCTGCCAGATTCATATGTTGAAGCCTTAATCCCTAATGTGACAACTTCACATAGAAATAGGGCTTTTAAGGAGGTGATGAAGGTTAAATGAAGTCATAAGGGCGGGGCCTTAATCCAGTAAAACTCATACCCTTATAAGAATGGGAAGAGACTAGTTTGTTGCCATGCAAGCACAGGAGAAAGGCCACCTGTACCCCAAGGAGAGAGGCCTAACCAGACACCAGCCACACTGGCACCCTGGTCGTAGACTTCTAACCTCACGAAGCAAGAGAAAGCCATTTCTGCCAGGCCCCCAGCCTGCAGTACTCCAGCGTGGCAGTCCAAGCAGGCTGATACCAAGCCCGAGGTGGAGTCATTCTGCTTGGGCATCCTGCTGCTTCTGCTCATTTAAGAATTTTGCTCAGATAAAAAATACCGTAGAATTTTGGGAAAATTTCATTTAAGATTGTGGGAACATTGCCATGATTGATGGGAATGATGGAGTAGGGGACACAGAAATCCACAGGAGGCCACTCCAATGCCACTTTTAAAGGGAAAAGAAAGAATGTGGTATGATAGTGTGTTGTGTGTATAGAATTATCAAAATTATGTCACTATCACTTGAGCATGCATGATCTCTAAAACTCCATTAAACAGGGTTATTAAAGGGAAATGCAACTAGGACTTTGGACTTAGGCTGTTCCCAATGCTGCTAGTCCCCACACTCCCACCCCGTAAGGGGAAGAATGCAGACCACATGGTGTAACTTCAGGTAAGATGAGCTGCTGAGTAACCTACCAATCATTGTCTAACTAGATCCAGGAGACCCAGGACTTTCATATCAATCCTAATGTTTTTAACAATGACTCAACTGATGATGCAGAGGATCCACTTTTCAAATTTGTGAAATGACAGGAATCTGGGAGTGAAATATACCCACTCACCCACTGAAAGACCTTTGGATTGTTTCTAATACTGGGCTATTTTAAGCGAGGTGGCTATGAACATTTGTATACAGGTTTTTGTATGAACATAAGAGTATTAGGGTTGCTAGGTTTGTGATAAACATGTTTATTAAGTCAAACTGCTTTCTAGAGTAATACTACGTTACATTCCCATCTGAAATATGAGTTTCTCCATAATCTCACCAGCATTTTGAAGTCCTTTTAAAAAAATTTTAGCCATTCTAGTAAATGTGTAGTGATATCCAGTGAGATCAGTAGTAATATGGAAATGATTTTTGAAAAACATGAAATTATCAAGTTAAAAAATATGTGTAACTCAGCAAATATTTTCCAAATGACCAATGCATGATGTTACAAAATTATCCATGAATGTTCTGGTTTTAAAATATGTCCACAGATTCTTTGATACCTCTCCTTTCAAAAGGTGGAAGCTAATTCCCCTCCCCTTGAATGTGGACTCTGCATAGTGAATCAAACAAATAGAACATAGCAAAGTGGTGTGTGACTTCCGAGATCAGCTTGTAAAAGACATCATGGCTCTGCCTTGCTCTCTCTAGGATCCCTTGTTCTGGGGGAAGCTAGCTGCCATGTCTTGAGGACACTCAAGAAACCTGTGGAGAGACCCACATGGGGAACCGAGGCCTTCTTCCAATAGCCCCATGAGTAGAGTTAAAAGCAGATACCCTATGTCTTCATTCAAAACTTCCAGATGACAGCAGCCCTAGCCACATCATTCCTGCAACTCATGAGGGACCCGGAGTCAAACTACCCAGGGAAGCCTGCACAGAGACTGTTACATAATAAATGCAGTTTTAAGTCATTACATTTTGTACTGCAGCAATAGGTAACTAGTACAGTGGGTAAGAGAGCCATTCCAAGTTCAGGACCAGTAGATTTACTGTAAGAGTACAAAAACTTGCTGGATGCAGTTTCATAGGCTTCATTGCAACTAACCTTTAAGAAGCTACCACTTGTTGAGTACTAGCGTAGTATTAAAGAATACTACGATGTCTGAAAAGGCTGTTAATATGCTCCTCCCTTTTCCAACTGCCTATCTAAATGAGGCCAGAGTTTCTTTTTATACTTCAACTCAAACAAGGTACCCCAAAACATTGAATACAGAAGCAGACATAAGAAACCAGCTGTCTTCAATTAAGTCAGACATTAAAGTAATTTGCAAAAATATAAAAATGCCCTTTTCCTCACTGAAGTTTTGGAAGTACAGTTATTTTTCACTTACAAATGCTCTTTATATTAACATGTAATGGGTTTTGTTGTTATCAAATGATTTTTTTAAAATTTCAGTTTTAGTTTTTAGTATGGTAAATATCAACAGATATAACTCAGATAAACAAAATCTCATTGAGGCCCTCAATTTCTGAGAGTAAAAAAGGGTCCTGAGGCCCAAAAGTTTGAGAAGGGTTGGCCTAATAGATAGAGGCATGAGAATGTATTTAAAGGAAAGCAACTAGAATAGGGTTGACAGTTGTATGTGGATTAGCCAAAAACTGTGAAGATTAGCTTGGAAAAGACTTAGGACCTACTATCTATCTTCCAAGGGGGAAGGAGTATTGATTTGTTATAGGTAGTATAGAATGGGAGTTAACCCCAAGGGTTTGGTGATCAAACAGACCTGTGTTTGAGACCTAGATCTGGTATCAGTATAAATTGTATATTAAAAATTGTGACTAAATATACATACCATAAAACATAATTTTAACCATTGAAAAACATGGTTCAGTGGCATTAAGTACATTCACAGTATATGCAAACATCACCATCTATCTAGAAAATATTTCTATCTCCCCAAACTGAAGCTCTGTACCTGTATAAACACTCAACTCTCCATTCCCCCTGGCAGCCATCCTCTGTTTCTGAGTTTGACTAGTCTAGGTACCTCCTGTAAATATTTTGTGTCTGGCTTTTTCACTTACTGGAATATCAAGTTTCATTCAGTTTGTAGTATGTGTCAGTTTCATTCTTTTTAAGGGAGTGTATGCATATGCCACGTTTTGTTTATTTGTCAGCAGACATTTGGGTTGTTTCCACCTTTTGGCGATTATGAACCATGCTGCTATGTGATTACTCTATGCATATGGGTGTACAAACACCTGTTTGAGTCTCTGCTTTCATTATTTCTGTGTCATACCCACAAGTGGAATTGTTGAATCACATAGTAATTCTGTGTTTAGTTTTTTTTGAGGAATCTCCGTACTGTTTTTCACAGCAGCTGCACCATCTTACATTCCCACCAGCAGTCCACAGGGCTCCAATTTCTCCACGTGCTCGCCAACACACGTTATATTTTGGTTTTTTTTAAATAATTGCCTCCTAATGGGTGTGAATCCTTTATTTTTTGAAATTTAAGTTTTCTAACTTTATTTGAAAAAACTCAAACCTGGAGAAAAGTTGAATCCCCCCCCCTTAGTTTGCCTGTTAACATTTTACCACACTTGCCTCTCTCTTCATATTCTTTGCTGTTGTTTTCCTGAGTCATTTAATGGACATTGCAGACAGGATGCTTCTTTGTGTCTAACCACTTTATGTAGGGATGATTTAAGAA